TTTAAGAATCCAACGCATATTCACATTCGTTTAAATATTACTAAAGAATAAAAGAGGGATGGAGATGTGCAAGAAGTAGTGTGTCGTGATGGAGGGAGTAACTCTCATATCAAAGAGACCAATCTAAACACAAACAATTTGTCTCTCTCTTATCAATAATTATCTTTAAAGAGAGTAAAAATATACATATGAATTTATTTATTTTATATATTGAGTTACTCTCACTTTTTTTTTATCTATCTTTCTTTTCATCTTTCTCTCTATAAGAAAAACATGATTGAACTTTTTTATTTAATTCTTTAATTTTTATAAAATTCTTTTCATTGATTTTGTTATAATAAATAAACAATTTAATATAGGGTACAAATGTGTAATTGCAAGCCCATCATTTTCATTTCTTCACATGGTTAAGGGTAATTATACATCTTCATTTTCATTTTATATCCTCCCAAGACATTTCAACACATACCAACTTAAAAACAAAAAAATCCCCCCTTTCAAAAAGAATACACGTGATTTTCTTTTTAAAGTTTATTGAGTTACTCTCTCCTATTTTTTTAGCTTATCTATATTAGAATATAATAATTGAATATTTTTATCTAATTCTTTATAATTTTTATAACAAAGACAAATGTTTAATTACAAATTTCTTCTCATATGGGCAACAAATTCCACCTTCTTTTCCTTTTTGTCGCGGTAACGAATCATTCAGTCAAACTCGATCCGATTCATTACGAGTTGATCACTTAATGAGTCAATTTAACCCAATTATTTATTAGTAAATTAAAAAAATTTGAATCTGTCTCGACCCACCACGGTTGATAGGTTAAATGGATGACTTACTAAGTCACTTAATTATATATTTCTTTTAAATCCAAAAAAATTACAATTTTTTTTATAATTCAAATTAAAATAATTTCACTCTAAAACGATGTTAAACTCCAAAGACATTCAGATAAAAAAAATTAACATACAACTTCAAATATAATCCAAAAGCAAACTCAAAAAGATGAATAAATAAATTTATAATATTTTATTCTCTTAAAATATCTTTTTCTTTATTCCTATTTACAATTCAATAAAAAAATGTTAACTAAATAATAGTTTACATAAAATAATAAATTTAAATTAAACTAGTAGGTTTGGTAGCTCACCTGGTTCATCAACAATCAAAAAAAATGTTAATTAATAATATTGGTTCATCACGGGTTCAACCCAGGTGAACCGGGTTTAAGTGAGTCAAATTAAAGATTAGTCCGTATATTTTTTTCAAACCTAATCTGACTCAAACCCATGATGTGTCAGATTGACCGGGAGGTTCTAATCCATTTTAATAGCATTACTTTTCATTCTTTCAAAAACATTTCAAACATGCTAATGTAAAAACATGAATTTTAAAAAAATAAAATAAAAATTTTAATTTTAATTAAATATTAAATTTTTTTATATTTTTATTTTCATTTATTGAGTTGGTCTATTATCCTTTAATCTAACTCTATTTAAAAATATACCTTGATGTTTTCTATTTAATTATTATAAGTTGATAAATTTTATTTTGTTTATTATTTAATTATATTAATGAAGTTTAAGTTTAAGGACAAACTTGTAATTGCAAGCACTATCATCTAATTTCTTCTCCTGGACGAGGGCACTAAATCCATGCCCCTCTTCCTTTTTATAGTCCCAATACATCTCAGAGATCAATCTAAAGACAAACAATTAGTCTCTCCTCTTCTTTGTAATTAATTACCTTGAAACATTCACAAGCTAAGAGAGTTAAAGAGTAGTGACTTTAGTTTGTTTTTTTTTTTTTAAATGTTAGTTACTACTCCTTCTTATTTCTATTTTAGAAAAGAATAATTGAACCTTGTTATTTAATCCTATAGAATTTTTATTAATTGTTTATTATAATTATTAAATTTAAGATCAAGGGCAAATGTATCAGCCCAACCACGGATCATCGTAATTAATATAAAATATTATATATACCTGTATCAAAAGGTTCGTTTTTTTCAATTTTAAACCCTTTAAGCAATTGGTTTTTTAAATTCATGTTTCTTATTTTTTACTCTTTAAATAACCAGTATCTCAATTTAATTATTTTATAAATTAAAATAATTATTTTACCATTTTACCTTTTTAAGAACTATCTTTGAAATTTAAATAATTATTTATTATAAAAACTATTTAATAGTAAACATTAATAAAAAAGTATCTATTTTTATAATACTTTTCAATAAAAATTACTTTAGAATTTAATAAATATTTTCCATAATAAAAAATAGTAGAACCAAGATTAGCACATATCTCCTCTAGTAGAGAAACATATTCAGACTATTAAAGCAAAAACATTATGTGTTTAACGTTAGAAAACGAAAAGACAAATGTTAGAATAATTGGTGACAATTTGTAAATAGGTGTTTAATTTAGACGTCAAAATTTATACTTTTTCGACGTCCTATGCTCATTAGACGTTGGGATTCTCATTTTCTGACGTCATATTAGGTCATTTTCACCAAAATCTTTGGCGCGAAAGTGAAAATATACTCATGTATGACATTGAATGCCATAGTTTCAAACGTAAAAGAGGTATAAGACGTCTGAATATCACTTTCAAAACGTTATATGTTTTGAATTCATTAAAAATTTAGGTGTGAGGTTGAAAATTCATTGCACGAAACTCTCTTCTCTGCTGAAACCCTTTTCGAACAAAGCTTTCGGCAACTAGCACATGTAATCTTTCTTTCATTTTATACAAATGCATATTGATTAACTACTCTAGGTATAATTTTCTTTTGGACCATAGACGCATTCTCCTTTCTCTCTCACTGAAGGTAACACTTTATTCTGGCGAACCCATCTTCAAGAAGGTTAGTTTTGTTTTTCATTTGCGTTTTATGGTTATTAATTGGTTGAACTTGTTGGATTATTGATATTAACATTGTTTGAACTTATTTGTTGTTCATACACGATATAATCCAAACTTAAGGTAAAATCGAGAGTATATTCCAAAGAACTACAAATAACCTGAAACTTTGTTCAAAGTACTAAAATATCATGAGAAGCCCCCACAAAAATTTGGATCAAATTTCAACGTCTAAGTATGTGACATATTTTAAAAAAGTTTGGAAAAAATAAAATAAATTGAGAAAAATAAAAATTACCTTCTTTTGACATTAGAAGGAACAACCATTTGCGGCGGGTTGCCAGGGGCTTGAAATTTTTTCCTACCCCCAATAGATCTCTATATTATCAAATCTACCAAATGGAGCAAAAGTGTTAATGATCAACTAACACGACATTAAAACTTAAAAAAAAAAAAAGAAAAAATACACAACAAAAAACCATTTTTTAAAGATCTATCACAATTAATTATCAAATAAGGGCTCTTAGGATTTTTTTCTCGGAAATAGGGGTTTCTAAATAGTGATAAAAAAATTTCACCATAACAATAACCATAACCTACAAAACCAAAAATCATAAGTTAATACTTACTTTTTTTCACTGTAACATCATAACTTGTGATAACTTTTGTTATTTCATACAAAGGCTTAATGTCCAGCTATGCAATCAGTGAATGACATGTCATTTAACTACTGACCAGCCTTGACTGAAACATGATGGCAGTCAATGAGCAACTACCACATGCAGCCCCTTCCCTAACCCAAAAATTAGGGTTTTTGAATGCAAGAGGGAAAAGACTTCCTTACGCTTTCACTGCAGAGGAAAACTGAATGGGTTTCGTGATGTTGCTACTCCAAGATGAAGCTCGCGATGGTCCAACCTGACCATGGTAGGTTCTGTCGGAGTTTCGTGATAGCTTTGTTTAATTTCATACAAGGCTTAATCCCACTGATTATCCCAATTTTTGTCAACCTTTGTTCAAAATGGTCCAATTTTTTAAAAAATGTTCAATGTAGTCCTAAACATTGTAATTTTTGTTCAATTAAGTCCTTTTTGCAAACGTCGTTTAAATATATACGACTAAATGTCCAGCTGTGCAACAGTGATGACATGTCATTTAACTACTACCTGCCTTGACTGAAACATGACGCAACAATGAGGGACATCACGTGGCAGTCCCTTCCCTACCCAAAAAATTAGGGTTTCTAAATGCAAGGGGGGAAGGCTTCCTTACGTTTTCCCCGCCAGAGGAAAACTGAATGGGTTTTGTGATGTTACTACTCCAAGATGAAGCTCGCTGATGAATCAATATTTTATACTATTCACTTAGTTTTCTGCACCGAATGGTGTTAGTGAATTGTGCTTAATTCTAAATTATTGTCTTATTTCACTGAGCTAAACTATAACGGGGATCACAACCACTCTTACCTCAAAAACTAAGGCCATGAGTTAATGGGTCTTTCTTCTTTATATACTGCTCTACTTTCTCATTTCTATCCAATGTGGGACTTAGACTCACACTTGGATTCCCAACATCTCCTCTCAAGGGGAGTCCCCTTCCACATAGATATACTCCCCCTCCAGCGAAGCATTCCAACCAACCACAACTACGAGTAGCCCTTTCCAACTGTTGTATCTTAACGGAACTTGCTTACCTGGATACCCTTTGTCAAGAAGACTTTTGGTATAGGGATCATTATACTCGGCGCCGATCACCAAGACAAACCATCAGCTCTGATACCACTGTTGGGTCTATCGATGAGGAGGTTCCTGTGGGTTACACAAACACCAATAACATCTGAGCCAACTATATAAGGGATTGACACCACTCTTTACCCAAAACCTTACGGCAATGAGTTAATTGGGTCTTTTCTTCTTTATATACGGCTCTACTGTCTATTCTATCAAAATGTGGGACTTAGACCCACTGGATTCCAACATTTTTTTAAAACGATCAAAAACCAATTTTCATTTCTCAATACATCCCAAAAAGACTAATCATTTAGCTCATCGGACTTGAGAAACACTTACCCTCTCGGGAAAATATATCGAGATAAACGAAACCAAGTATATTACAATAACCAAAACGAAATTACCCTATTTTCTAAAAAGAGCCTTAAACCCCTAAAACTCTTGAGAGGCAGACCCAATTTTGCCTTCCCCCTTGCCACCTTCTTGGGAAGAAGAGTTCGATGAATATTGGGCAACACACCTCCATTGACAATGGTGACAGACCCCAAAAGCTTACTCAGTTCCTCATCATTCCTCACCGCAGCATTACCGGCCAGTTCCAAAACCTCGGCTGCCAAATATTCAAGCACTGCAGAGAGGTAGACTGGAGCACCGGCACCAACACGCTCAACATATTTGCCCTCGTGCGTGATAGTAGAAATTGGGTGATCCGATAACGGCCTGATAGCGGGTGGAATAGAAGAATAGAATGCCCATTTAGAATTAGCTAGGATAGGCTCTAACCATGACTCTAATACCATATTAGAAAGTGGGTTTTAAGCCTAACTCAACCCAAAAACCGGCTTTGAGGTGAGGTTTACACACCTCACTTATATTTATAATTTTGACCTTATCATTAGTCGATTGTGAGACTTAAAAAAGAAAAATAATTTAAGGCAATTGAAAGAAGACCTTTTGAGAAAAAAAAATGCAACAGTATACTTCAAATATATACGAAAAGAAAAGAATGCAAAAGAGAACACAATATTTGAATAGTATATATATATATATATATAATGTGGTTTAAGCGTTTTATAGGTATTTAAATATCTCGTTTCTTTTAATTATGGTTTTAAAACCAAAAATGCATTTTTTTATAATTTTTTTTTTAATTCATGTTAACATCTATTTTATATTTAATTAATATATAAAAATCATCTGTGCCTATATAAAAATTGGATTCGTTTTCTTACAATTGCTTTTCTAATTTTACCCTTCAAATAACCGTTACTTTAAATTCACATATTTACATTTCCCTTTTTATCCTTGACCGCATATAATTTTAATTATTTTATATATTAAAATAATAATTTTATTATTTTATCTTTTTATAATTACTTTATAAAATTTAAAAAAGCTATTCAATAGTAAAACATATATGCAAATTGATTTTTCTTATTTATACTTTAATAAAAATTTATTTTATAGTTTTTTCATAAATATTTTCTATAATACAAAATAAACGTGCAATTCAGACGATTTTAGTAGTATATTTTTCACTTGTTGGGACGCCATTACATTTAGACAATTCGTTTCCAAATCGAAAATAAAATTTGCAAGATAATTGATATTTGCCAAGTATTTATTATTTGTGGATAATATATGTTGATATTTTAATATTTGTGTATAAATAAATTAGATTGAGTATTATATTATATTTACGAATATTTATTACTTACAAAAAATTAAAATTAAAATTTAATTTATATTATATTATATTATATATATTTTTATTTTATTATCAAAAATTTACAAAATATAATAATCTATATTTACAAGTATCTACTAATTTAAAATGCCATGGATATTTTGTAAAACGGATATTTAGTAAGTAATGAAACAAGTAATAAGTAGATATTTTTGGTGCAAGTTAGTTAATAGATAGATAATATTCATGTTCGACCTAACTCGTTGTCTCTTCAACTGAGACTGGAATACACAGTCTAATATCTGTACATGTTTAGAATTAGTGTGCTTCTAAAAATGTTGATTAAGACAGATATATCAAATGAAATTATGTAACTTGGCAAAAAAAATAATAATTTTTTTGTAACATTGTTATTTATGTTATAAAAGTACCTTTTTAAAATTAATTTCAATTATATTTATTAACCATAATTTTTATATTTATAAATTAAAGTATTTTTGAAATAATAATATTTAATGAATTATGGTGAAATTTATTATTTATATTTAATTTTATCAAACATTTTATTTTTTCCTTTCTACTTGGAAAAAAAAAAAAAAAAAAAAAAAAAAATTTTTTTTGTAAAGGAGGAAGTACTACATTTTGTTTTATTAGGGATTTTGTGGGACCCAAGTGTCTATGTATCCTCTTTGCTTTCGAACGCTGAGGTACCTGTCAAAAGAGAACTCTTACGCTCAAGTTAGAACGATTTTGGGAATTGTGTATCCCATTGTATGTTTAAATTTTGATCGAAATTTTTTATCGAAGTAAGTAGAGTGTATTGGAGTGTGAGTCGAACGTATCTGTTGTTGGCACTGACCTTGTATTTATAAGTCATCTCATGCATCATAAACTGACACAAGACCAATAAAATATAAACAGACTTACCTTAAAATTCGGTTGGTTGTTCATAAACCTTCTATCAATATTTTTAATTAGATCTTCAATCAGATATCTTTGATTATTTTATCATTTGTTGGACATTTGGCCCAATAATAAAGTGCTGGCCCAATTGTGGCCAACATTAATAGAATCGTTTGCCCTGATTGATCATAGTGGTGACCGAACGGTATTGAGTGGATGACCGTTCAGTCTCTAATAGATTTCAAGGTTAAAATTTGAAAAACATGAGTATTTACATAGTTCATTCTTATTAGTTTTTTTTAATAAAACCCGTTTTTTATGAATATTTTTTAAAATTCAAGTTAACATCAATTTTTTATTTAATTAATATACGTAAAATTATAATAATAGAGAAGATATAATAACACATGAATGTTCATTAAAATAAATAAAAAATTAAATGTAATAGGTTATTATTAGAAACATGAAAATTAAGTGCTTTACTTTGTCTTTGTTAACTGATTTATGTTTAAATGATTTGTAATTATTATTTAAAAAGGAAAAATAAAATGTTTAGAATAGTATCCGGGCTAGATGTTGGTGGTAATAGAAGGAATTAGAGTCACGTTGATATTCATTTGACACTTTTAACAAGATAAGTTGATATTCCTTTGACACATAAGATGGATTTAAAAGAATAATTTTTTTAATTTTTCGAAAAAGAAAAAAAAGAAAAGATAGTATGGAATCAATGTAAAAAAGTTACGTTTCTGATATATTATTTATTTATAATAAAAGAGTGTATTTTATTTGACATGGATCAGAATTTTGATTGGAGTTGTAGCGTTAATGCAACTGAAGATTTATTTTAAATATTTATTTGTTAGCAGTTATGAGTAATAAAAGATTGACAATAAATGGTCTCATAATTACCTATTTCAAATATTTTTGACAGCAATGCAAAAAAACAAAGGATAATAAATATTTAAGGACAATAACATCTGCATGAACGAAAATTGCAGTATAAAGCGGTGATCTGAAGAACGGAGTAGACACTCACTGTCAACCCGTTGTGAATTGTGGAACTTTTCACGACATTCTGAACCGAAAAAACTGAAAAGAACGGTGTATTCAAAACGCCAAGCTGACGAAGCGAAAGCGAGAAGCGGAAACACCAAATATGGGTGTTGATTACTACGACATCCTTCAGGTCGATAGGGATGCTAAGGAAGAGGACCTGAGGAAAGCGTACAAGAGACTCGCCATGAAATGGCACCCCGACAAAAATCTCACGAAGAAGGAAGAGTCTGAAGCAATGTTTAAACAAGTATCTGAAGCGTATGAGGTTAGTTTCTCTTCAAGGTTGTCACAAAGATTCAATCTTTGAATGGTGGGTTTCGTTTAAACAAAATTAAAGATTTCCCATTTTTATTTAACTTACGTTGTTTTCTCATGGAAGGTTTTAAGTGATCCCCAGAAAAGGGCACGTTTTGATAATACTCTAAAACCTCGGGTGGAACCTGCTGCTGATGCTGGTGCATCTGGTGATGGTGGACCCACCCGATACCAGAACCCGCTCCCCAAAGCACCTCCAGTGGAGCGCAAGTTGCCTTGTACTCTGGAGGAATTGTATTAGGGAACCACCAAGGAGGTGAAAATAAGTCGAATAACCATAGATCCCTCAGGGTAAGTAGTTTGTCTTTTTGTTTCAACTTCCTGAATTCCCGTTTGTTTCTAATGCCAATGTGCAGTATTCAGTGCTGGTGTTATGAAAATGGTTTTGATTTTGGTTTGGTACAAGTTCAGTTCTCTGAAGGTAAATTTTAGTTTCATTGAGATCCTTAATTTGATGGAAATCGTAGACAAATGAAACTGGATTGTGGATCTGGCGAATCCAAAACCCTTGATCTTGTTGCTGAAATTGCAGTTATGAACAGGTTTCTAAATCCTGGGTAATAATTCTTGGATTTTGAAC